GGGCGTAGTAACGTAACGCATTCAGAAACGCTTAAAAACGAAAATTAATTTCCAACTTTTAAAGCGTTTTTAAAGCGTTCTCATGTGAAATGGCCGATTGTGCACATGCACATGCAGGTAGAGGCTCGCGGGGGCAGCAGGGCGTCGTGACGTAACGTTGACGCATATAGAAACGCTTGAAAACGGAAAATTAATTTTCAACCTTTCAAGCGTTATTAAAGCGTTTTGGATAAAACGATAAGGAGACGCCAGAACCTATTATCGTTTGCGACAGTCGCGGCGAGGCGCAGGCACCTTGCCCCAGTGCAAAGTAGAGTGACGGATATTGAAACGATATGAGGGGCCCAGAAGCGCTCTGTTATTATGCGGGCCTCAACCACGACCGTCATTTAAAATCAGACATATGATTGTGTTTCTCTTCTTTTTTTGCGACTTGTCCTTGGCATACTAGTGTGCGTGTGTGTGTGTATGCTGTGTGCTCGTGGGGGTGGAGTTGGGCAGCCGGCGGGGTGGAAAGGAGGGGGGAGGGGGGAGTGAAGGGGGTGGGGGCAATACAATCGTGTCTGAAGGGCGAGGGTTATCGCGATACTGGTGTCGGGGCAACAGTCGTGCTCGGGCTGTCCCGGGGCGTGGAGAGGGGGGCCCCCCGAGCGCGTCTGGGTGAAAGAGGTGGAAGTAATATAGCGGAAGGAGCGGGGTAAGGTGGGGCAGAGGGGAAGCTGCAGGTCCTACCCCGCCGCCGCAGGAAAGCTATACACTAATGGAAAGAAAAATTCTTTTGAGACTTCCAACTTTAGAAATTGGCACCGAAACTGTCGAAAACCTGTCAGAAAATGCACGACATTGACACCGATGTCTCTTCTCGGTCATCACTCATGTTTCGTTTCCGCCCGCTGTGTGTATGTGTGTGTTTTGTCATGCTGCTGCGATTCACTCACGGAGCAGACCGCCCGGGACGATCGCTGAACACGCGCGGGCCTTGTGACTGGTGAGGCTGGTGAGGACCCCCGAGGGAGGGGGGGGG